GCTACCTATAAAGGAAACACCTCAGTCCACCTCAAATCCCATTTGATAACAAATGAGAATTCCAGCAAAACGCAGAAAACACAGAGTGAGTAACAACTAGGGCTGTAGACTGACCAAGGATTAAACTAGCAAAGCCAGCCATAATTCCACCACTGTAAAGCTTCTGAGAGCTCTTCACTTGGTAACTGATGCAAAATCCTCAACACAACTTTCTGTCACTTAAATTAAACACCATGCAGCAGGATTTCAGCAACCAAATATATAGTCCAGGGCTTTTTCTGAGATGCCAAAATATAGTAACAGCACAGACACAATTCAATTCTTAACATATAGGATAGGGTTGCATGCTTTTGAAAAAGTCAAGCCCCACATAAAATAAAGCAGTGACATAAGAAACTGTGCAATAATTTGCAGCAGAAACAAGAGATGAGTAAGAGGCAAATCTGACATAGAAAGAGCAAAGTACCCAACGTGGATGAGGAAGGGATGCAGGAAAATCTAACAACCAACAAATCTCCCAGTTATTAGAAGAGATGTTAACCACCTAAGATTTGCCACTGTGGAGGAAGCAGAAAACATTCATAAAGAAGAAAGTCCCCCTGTATCCCCAGAACAGGTTCCTTGGAAAACCATAGCTTAAAGATAAGAAATGGCTTGTTAAATGACAAATACAAAAAGGAATACAGTTCCCCCCTTGGTAGACCCTCTTATCTATCTCCAATATTAGTAGTTAATTTTCTTTTAGTATCCATAGGCTAGTTTTGAATGTAAAATCCCTCGGGGATTGGTTAGAATGTAGAATTCCCTTGGTAATTGGTGCAAAATGTAAAACCCTCAAAAAATATAAAAAACCCTGTAAAACCCTAACGGTTGAATATGCTAGATTGGATGCCTTCATAGACTAAACTATGGATTTGTGCCTTTCTACACATTTCAATCTCTTCATCCTGCTGGTCTGAGAGCTCACCACGAGCCAAATTCTATCTGGGCAAGGCTCGGGAACGTGCTCCGTCACTGAGGGCTGCAGAAGCAGTCTTGGGGATCCCAAAGGGACCCCAAAAACCCCCAGCAACATGCCACCATGCCCAATACTCTTAATCAGCTGCTCCAGCACTACATACGCCTCCTTACTAATTTTCAGAAGTATGTGACAAGGTAATGAAAAACAATGTAAATCACAGATTTATTTCATAATAGAAACAAATCTGCCCAAACTCCTTGAGAGCTTGAATATTTAGCTCTTTAGCCACTCCTTTCAAGATAAAATTTACACCTTTCATTCCAAATAAATAACATCACACAAATGAAAAGCAAGGCTAATGAATAACAGGACTGAATTCCATTCTTTCCACATTTTTTTTTTTAATTCTTTAACTGGAAGTAAGGATTAAGAGACAAATAAAAAACAAGGTCTACCTTTGACTTCTGTGCCTGTGTAGTAAATGAACAATCATACAATACATACAATATAAATGAATGAACACCTTGGAAACTAACATCAGAGATATGATCAAAACACACCAGTGTTCTCTTTAGTTTCAGAGCATGAGGTGACAAGGCTAAAAGTCTTTCAGTTACATTAACACAAGGATTGTAGATGTTATTCTGGCAACTTATGTTATTAATCACAAAACTTATCTAAAAGAAGTTAATTACAAGTTGAAAAAACAGCTGAAAAGCAACTTTTCCTTTTACTTCGACATTTTTTCCCTTTAAATTCAACATTGCTTTATTCCCCATTATTTTATCCTTTCTATCTTTTGAAGCTATAATTTCATTCTTGTTAGTGTATTCTTCTAGCTCTAATCTTACTGCCCTTGCCACTTTGAAACAAGTCACATCCATTCTGCAAGCCCAATATTCTCCATCCACTGACAAAACTGCTGTTGTATTTAACAACCTAGACTTCCACCTGACATGAAGAAATAGACATGTTAAGTAGCTTAGGAAAAATATGAAATCAGTCTCCAAATCCTCTGCTTTTAAGCTCTACGTCAAGGATAGGTACCAAAACCTGTATTGTCTATCTCAGCTATTGTCCATGATTCCACTTAACACATCTGTGAACCTTCAACTAGGGATCCAAACATCACCACCTGAAAATGACAGCTATAACCAAGTGCACATTAAAAATAAAATGAGCTTTCTCATAACCCATGGCCTCTACTACTAAAAACAGCACCCTACATAGCTTTGAAAGTGCTGCATATAAAAGTCAAATTTAATGCTGTGCTGCAGCATATTTATTTTGGAGAAGGATAAAACGAAATAGTGCAACATTTTCCTAAACTGGGAGGAGCTATTGACTCCCTCAAAGGCAGAGACCCTCCAGGAAGACCTAAACAAATTAAGGGCTGGACAATCATCAACTATGTGAAGTTTAAGACAGTTTAGCACCTGGGATGGAGCAATTCTAGATGTACAGACAGACTGGGGAAAAAGCGTCTGGAGAGCAGTGCTGTGGAAAGGGACCTGGGCGTCCTGGTTGATGGCAAGTTGAATGTGAGCCAGCAGTGCCCTGGCAGCCAGGAGGGTCAATCCTGTCCTGGGGGGCATCAGGGACAGCATCAGCAGCTGGGCAAGGGAGGGGATTGTCCTGCTCTGCACTGAGATGGCCTCACCTTGAGTCCTGTGTGTTTTGGGCACTACAATACAAGAAGGACATAAAACTTTAGAAAAGCATCAAAATGAGAGCTACAAAGTTGGTGAGGGGCCTAGAGGAGAGGAAGGGCCTAGAGCCACTCAAGGAGCAGCTGAGGTTACTTGTTTGTTCAGCCTGGAGACTGAAAGGAGACCTCATTGCAGTCTACAGCTGTCTCACACAGGGAAAAGCAGAAGCTTTAAGCTGAGCTAGGGGAGGTTTTTTTAAGTTGGATATTAGGAAAAGGCTTTTCACCCAGATGGTGGCTGGGCACTGGAACAGGCTGTCCAGGGAAGTTCTCATGACACCAAGCCTGACAGAGTTCAAGAAGCGTTTGGACAACACACTCAGGCACACGGTGTTATTCTTGGGGAAGTCGTGTGCAGGGCCAGGAATTGGACTTGAGGATCCCTGAGGGTCTATTCCAACTCAGGATATTCTGTGATTTTATGAACATTAAATCTTGTGAACATGTTTACTATCAATTTGTTTATTGGATATAATCACCTAATGACACAAACTATGGCTATCAAGCTCCTCCCATACAAATCACAACACAGTGCACAGGTTCTACAATCTGAGCTTCAGAGGACTTCTTGATATTCACTCCCTACTGCCTTTCAAATCCGTGAGAATACTTGTGTCTTTTGTGACCATAAAATGAAGTCACGGTAACAATTTACAGAACTGTGATCCTCCCTCTTTTTTCTCTTATATGAGGCAAGAAGCAGTTAACAGTGATGACATTAAAACCTACCACACCAGGATATTTGGGTTAACACCTTAGTGATACAAACAGGGCAGCTCACACCTCTTGCAGCTCTTGTTCCAGTTTCTCTACTACCTCACGTAGCCATCTCCACTTTTAGTTCATTCTGGTTTTCAACAAAGCTGTATAAGCCAGAAACTGATGGAGAGCGGGGAAGGAAAGCAAAAGATAGTAGATAACAAGGTAACAGATTTAGAGAAGTGTCAGTAAGCAATGCCACTGCTCAGGAGACGAATCTCAGTATTGGTGTCACATAGCAGGTACCCAAGTACAGCTTTAGCAGTCCTACCACAGCTAACATAAAACCACAATATGGTTTGGGAGGGACAGATAATACCATTATATACATAAACAGTGAAGCAGAACGCTGATGACTTCAGTGTTTGGTGCCATGCTTTTTGTTCTGCATTGAAATCACAACATGTTGAATCACTGGGATTAGCCTGGTTAGAGTATGCTGCTAATAAGATCAAGGTTGTGGGTTTGATCCCATTATGGACCATTTATTTAAGAGTCAAACTCGATGATCCTTGTGGGTCCCTTACAACACAGAATATTCTGTGAATTTTTGAATTAACTAATGTAATAACTGGGCCTTTTCCAAAGGACAAGTGGGAAGTGAAATTACGCTGTAGATGAACATCCACCACTTGAAATTCTGTGGTAAGTTTTATAACATTTTCTTAAATGAGTTACAGATCAATGCTTAGAGGATACAATCAATAAATCTAGAACCTGACTACTCCACAAACACCTTGTTTGCAGGGCCTAGAGACCCAGACCAGGATAGGTTTCCATCAAGAACCGAGAGCCTGGTCTTGGCTAGCATCCTTCGGCTTTTGGAGAAGCAGCCACAGGCGGCAGGGACCGAGGTGCACAGCGACGAACACTGCAGGTCACCACCACCTACGAGAGACTCAACACCTTGCATTAGCTGAAGGGACTGGCCTTTTAAGACACCGAGCCAAAGGCACCTGACTCGGGAACTCTAGGCACAATGAGCAAACACTACATGGGTATAAAGACCAGGGGCTTACATTCACTCCTGTACCCACAGCTTATGTGTCTATAACCATTAGGACAAGATCCCGGTAGCACCAAGCCGAGGACCACATAACCTTGGTGCTTTGCGTTTGTTACACAACCAGAGGCTACAGCAGGCACCCGGGGGTGCCTGGACGCCCCGGAGCTGCCTTCGCCCCGCGTCCTGCCGCTGGAGCCCACGGCGGCGGCAGCAGGGCAGCAAGGAGACAAGGAGGGGGACGGCGGTGGGAGCCCGCTGAGGGCGGCGGGGACGTCCCAGTCCGCCGGGAACCTCGCGGAGGCCGGGCCGGAGCCCCCAGGGTGACCCTCGCCAGCACCCACCGGCGGTGCGCCGCAGCCCAGGCCACCGCCCTCTCCGGCGGGTGTGAGGGGCCCGCGGAAAGCGACGGGGGTTTCCCACAGGAAGCTTCGGCGAGGCGAACGGCGGTGGGGAAGAGGAAGGCGGGGGTGAAGTGAGTATATGTGGGGGACGCTCCGCCGCCCCGCCGTCCTCCCTTCTTCCCTCCCCCTTTCTTTCCTTCCCTCCCGCCCGCCGGCAGCCCCTACCTGCGGCGCCGGGGGGAGGCTCCATCTGCGGCCCCACGCAGCGGCGGCAGCTGCGCACACGCTGCGCGGTCACGGCCCCGGGCCTGCAGCGCAGGCGCGGCACAGCCCGGCCGCTCCTTCCGCTCCTCCCGCTCCTCCCCGCGCCGGGCGGAGACCGGGGGCGGGAGCGCTGAGGGCGAAGGGTGCTGCGGGCGAAGGGTGCTGTGGATGTAGGCGTGTGGGCCTGTGGGCGTGTGGATATGTGGGCATGTGGCCTCGGGGGCGGCCCTCAGGCGCTGTGGCGGGGCCGCCGCCGCGGAGAGCGGCGCCGAGGGACCGTGGGTGTGCTCGTACTCTGTGAGTCGCCGAGGGATCACAGAATAGGTCAGATTGAAAAGGGACCACAGTGGGTCATCTGATCCAACCTATCTGCACAAAAACAGGGTCATCCTAGGGGTTTGTGTCCAGATCAGTCTGAAGTATCTCTAGTGAGGGACACTCCATACCCTCTCTGGGCGGCCCGTTCCAGTGCGTAGTCACCTGCACAGTAAAGAAGTGGAACTTCCTGTGCATCAGATTCTGCTTGTTGCCTCTTGTCCAACTCTTTGGCATCACCGAGCAGAGCCTGGCTCCATCCTCTTGGCACCCTCACTTTAGATATGTATATGCATTGATAAGGCCTGCTGTCAGATGTTTCTTCTCGAGACTGAACAGGCCCAGCTCCTTCAGCCTTTCCTCGGAAGAGAGATGCTCCAGTCCCCCACTCATCCTCGTTGCCCTCCGCTGGATCCACGCCAGGAGCTCCACGTCTCTCTTGTGCTGAGGAGGCCAGAATTGAGCTCCTGACAGGCCTGGGTGCTGAGCACCAGGCTCCCGGGGAGCCTCAGGGCTGCTTGTGTGTGGGTCTGTGTGTGTGCAGCCTCTGACAGGGACTGGTGTCACATCCTCCAGCCCTTGGCGTGCCTGAGGCTTCCACAGCAAGGACTCGAAGTGGCAAATGAGAATTTCATTGGTGCTGTTTTTATCTATGAGTTGGTTTCTGACCATAAAAAGGGCTTCCCAGTCAGCAGGCAGGAGGTCCTCTCTCATACCTCAGTGTCGCTGGGACCATGTTCCTGTGACAGTGGTGCGGTTGACAGAGGAATCAGGAATTTAGTGTCCCACCTGCAACTCTAATTTAGGGTTCTGCACTATATTTAATTGACCAATCCTTAGTTATTACTTGCATGAGGCAAGAATAACCACTTCGAGAAACAAAACATGGAGTAAACAAATTAATTTAAAAAGTGGTAAATAGCCAGAAATTGTCATACATTTAAAAACCCAAGAACATGATTCCCTAGAAATTAAGAGAAATGAGAAGCAAGGATACATATCTGAAACTCAGGACTTGTTTTAACAAATAAAAGCCAGAATTTTCAGAAAGCCTACCCTCTTTTCCTATCTTTAACATTTCAGACTGACAAGTGATATGAGAAATCAGTCATTTTATGCAGTGGCCTCTTACAGGAGGCTGCAGAAATTCTTCCAAATCTAGCATTTCCTTTATTACCTGGCATTGTTACTTTCTGTTCAGTGGAAAGGTGAGTTTTAAACATTACAATTCTCAGTCAGAAGCCCACCAGTCTTCCCCAAATACCAGATAGACTTTGTATGCCTCTGAAAGATAATAAGCAATCTAGAAAATTCAGTAGGAGGAATGTAGATAATGCCATGTTATTTATCATTAAAATTATTTTTTGTCAAAGTTTCAAGTGCAGTTTTTCCCCAGATAAACATTTTTTCCCATATGAAAATTTAGTCTCTGTGTTCAGAAATACATTGTTTCAACTTGAGGACACACTAAGAGCCAAGTTCTTCGTGTTGATACATTCACAGAAATTAGTAGAGCGTGATGTAGGCAAAATCTTCCACACGAATGCTTTTGGCCTTACTGATCTAGAGCATTTCTGCTTTATACCATTAAGTGCCTTTATGCTTTTCTTTTTTTAACCACAAGTTTGATCTCATTCCTTAGAGTAAAATTTGAATATTACAATTGTTTTCTGTGACATATACCACTTCAAAAAATTTTTATACACTGTTTTGAGAATTTTAATTGAACAAAACCATGCAAATGCAACATATCAATTTATTTGTATTTGTTTTATTAGGGGATTTTGGCTATGCCACTTCTGCAATGAATTTAGGAGAGCGTTAAAAAAAAATACCAGCCAATCTGCAAAGAGTTCTTATATAATCTGCAAAGAGAAAATACAAGAAAACACATGATACAAAGAGGAGCTTTCATCATGAGAGCCAAAGAAAGGGGAATGTGTACCTTCAAAGTAAGTTGAGGTTTTTTTTTTTTAAGGCATTATTTAAGTTAGTATTGCTGTTCTTAAACTCTTGGCTACTGATGTTTATATACTCCCTGCAAAATTAGAACTCTGAAGATTTACTGATGAAGATCTTTGAACTTACATGTCAGCTCCATTTGTTTTGTTAATTTGGTCGGTTTCAGGTCAGAACTCTGCTGCTTCTTTCATTGAAACAGTATGTGCAAAAATAAATGTCCAATAGCTTTGTAGTTTGGAGAAGTTGTCTTCTGCTGCTGCTTCTTCCAGTAGCAGGTCTGGAAATCAGAAACAGGACTTTCTGGGAGCTTTATTTCCAAGTCTGGCAGACAAGAATGATGAATGCTGAGAACTGCAAAAGGGAGTAAGACACAGCTTTGGGAAATAAGAATAAATACAAAGGGGAAAAGTTGATAGAGCAACTTTGTTCTGGAGATTTGAGGGTCAGAAATAGTTTTTGAGGGAGGGCATATGCAGCTGTGAGTCTGATAACCGTTTCATGCTCTTTGGGGCTAGTAGTAATTATCAAAAATGAGAAAGTATCAGAGAAAGTGTTATCTTCATAAATAAGCAAATGAGGCTGACCTTGTGCAGAGCAGGAATTGCATAAGACAGTAAGGTAGAAACTGTCCACAAAGGGCTTTAAATTAGGATAAATAGTTTGTGTCTGACTTGGGAGCCAGTGGAGGTGTCATAATGGCTGACTCAATGACACAGAAAAATTGTTTTCTTACAACAGCTTGAATGAATAGAAACAGAACAGTTTTCACCACCAGAAAAGAGGAAGTTACTATGTGAGAGATGTGAAGTGTTAAGTACCATATCAAGAATTTTAGTAGCACAGATTAAAAAGCAAAACACTTTGTAAATACATGTTCTAAATGCCTTTATATGCAGTCTTGATGCTAATAAGATCGTCAACTTATATGGAGAAAAGATAAATGTACTTCCTTCATTAATGTGGAAGTGCCTGTGAAAATGAACTCCATCCTGAAGGAACATCCAAGGGTATAAAGGGACGGTTTCGTTAAAAAAAAAAAGTGCAAAGTGGGTCTTCCTTAAACATGAGGCTAACTTGTATCTTATCCCAGGAGAGAATTCTGAAATGACATCTGGAGTACGCAATTTGTTTTTAGTCAGATCTTTTTTAATATGAATCTTGCACAACTTGGGCAGCCCTGTGAAGTTGTGCTGAAATGTGTGGGGCTTTTGCCATGTAACACTTTGATACGAGTTCGTACCGTATGCTTCGTTTAACTGAGACACTTATTCGGTAAACTTACTTAATTGAGACATCTCCTGGGACACTGGTGTAAGACCAGTACTACTTAGTGCACACAACTGCTACTTAACAGGGCCCTAACAGAAGAGTGGCTGCTGCTTAGTGCCCCTGGTTATTCGGTGCTGCTTCAGTCATCTCTCTGTCACAGTTTCTTGTAATTTGTCTATACAAAGAAAATACTCCCTGCAATTTATTCCCTGAGGGTAAAATACTGGGTGCAGGACTGGTGATGGTGGTCAATTTCTGCACTGATTGTTACAGTGGAGAAGATATGATAATTTCCCTTATAGTCTTGAAGGATGCTTGAGAGAATGTTTTTCTTATAAAATTTTAAGAACCCTATGTAGTCAGAAGTAGTGTTGGGTTACAGTAATTTCTGTGTTTCTAAGAATCATATTGTCATTTGATTAGCTAATCGCCCATTTTCCAAAGTGTGAACATATTTTCACACTTCAACCAAGACAGTGTTAACAAAGAAACTATAGATAGCAATAGAGATTAATTATCTATCCCGTGAGTCTCCACACCTTGTTGTTACCAGATAAAGAGAGCCTATCTGTCTGCACACAGGTGTGATTTTTTTTTTTTTAACAATAGCCTTGGTCAAATGAGTTCAAAGGCTTATTTTCAAATGACACCTCTTTGACATGCTTGTACGCTGTTGACATTTTTGATCTTGTTTCATGAAATATAGCTTCCAGTAAAGAGTTGTGATTCTTTGCTAAGCTTACCCATGTGAAATACATTCATTCATAGGTGTGAGATGTGGAGGAGTTTTAAATGAGAATATTTAGAATCAAAGAAATGTTTCCTTGTTTCCTTCTTTTCTGGAGGGAACGTACTCTTACTTAAGTCACTGCAAAATTCTTGAGGGCCTTATTTGCAATTGTCATCTGTGATTTTCACCAGGACATCTTCCAGAAGAGTCAAAAACATGAAGGAGAAGTTTTAGTGTCTTTCTGTTATACAAGTTGCAACATTTTGTATTTATTCCCCCACAGAATTAAACCCATCCATATGTCTGTTTAAGGATAGGAGGTCTTTACAGCTATAGGAAGAAGCATTAGGCATATTGAACTATTTCTGCCCTGTCCTATGAGCCTGTAATTCTGCCTGTTCTGGATATTAGTGAATGCTACTATGTTGCAGACCTCTGAACCTGCGGCCTGTCAAGCCTCATGTAAGTGACATGAAACTTCTTCAGCATTTTCACAGTGCAGGCACTGGCACTGCATTGCCTTGGCCTCTCTCTTGCTCTCAAAGGACACCTAGCATGTTGCTAGGTGGCAAGCTCTGTGGTGGCAGTGCCTGTCTCAAGTCCTGTGGACTGTTTATTACCACTTCACCAAGAATGAAACCTTTCCGTTCGTGGCCCTGACCTTTCCACTCAAGTTTCAGGGCAGTTGGGACCATCTAATCAGGGTGACTACCAAAACTTGTTGTCTCTAGCAAGATGTCACTATAG